ACCCCGGCTTCCCCCACCCCCCCACCCCCCCCCCCCTGGGTACAACCCCCGCAGGTCTGAGCGGACCGGAGCTCCACTGGAGGAGGCAGGCAGGGGGCAGCCACCACCCTGGTACCCGTTCCAGAAGAATCCCGGTCCTGGGGCACAGTCAGGTTGCAGTTGGCAGGGCTCTCGTCCTGGCCCTGGGGCTGCCACTCAATGCAGTATGTGAGGCCCGGGGTCCGGGCCGGCCAACTCATAGTGGTCCCATGGGCTCCGGCACTGATATTCAGAGGTCCCGGTTCTGCAAATAGATGTGGGGGGGGGGACACCTCAGGACAGCCGCCTCAGTCCGCCGCCCACCAAGGCTCCTGGAGCCCCGCCCCCTCTTGCCCAGCTCTACCCCACGGGGCCCAGAGCGTCTGTACCTCTGTCTCCCCACACTGGGAGCTGCCCCGTGGGAGGCTGGGCACAGAGGGGACAGAGGGGCTGTTTGAATGAGGTGACACCCCCATCAGTGCTACCTGGACTGATGCACGCCCTGCACCAGCCTGGTGGGCGTCTCCTGCTCCCGCAGATGCCTGGCCAGCCCCCACCCACCTCACCCAGTGGGGGTGGGGCATGAGCAGATCTCAGAGGCCGAGGACACGCCCACTCAGTCCCCTGGGTGCATGGCTCCCATTCCCTAGAGCCAGGGCCCCTGCAGCAACCTCAGAGAGGGGAGCGGCTTCCGAGCACCAGCTGTGCCCCCAGGCCAATGCCCCGTACTTTACAGGCACCACTTTGCTACAGGAAGTGGGACCATGATTATCCCAATGATATAGAAACTGAGGCTCAGAGAGGGAGAGTCACCAGCCCAGGGTCACACAGCAAGGCCATGCCCCAAACCAGGCCAGCAGCTGGCAGACCCTGGCAAGTGACTTCGCCTGCCTGAGCCTCGATTGTCTCAGCTCTGAATGGGCATCATTGTAGCAGCCCTGCCCTCACAGGGTGCTGAGTGCTCTACAGGGCCAGGGCCAGGGCCAGGGCCAGGGCCAGGCTGGGCCGAGCGAGCCACTCACCTCAGGCATGAAATTTAAGGAGGAAAGGAGGAGAACTCAGTCATCAAGGGAAACACTGTCTTAATGTAATCTTTTTTAAAAATCAAAATGAATGCAAAAATATGTGATGAGCACTATTCATAGTCACTAAGAGGTGGAAACAGCCCACATGTTGGTCAGTGGATAAGCAGATGAACAAGACGTGGTCCATCCAGACAGGGGAACGTTACTCGGCCGTGAAAAGGACCGAAGCACTGACACACGGGACAATGTGGATGAACCGGAGACATCACGCTGAGCGTGAGAAGGCAGGCACAAAAGGCACCCAGTGTGTGACTCCATCTACATTAAAGGTCCAGAACAGGCAAATCCATAGTGACAGAAAGTAGATTAGTGGTTGCCCGGGGCTGGGGGAGGGGGAAGGGGGGAGGGGGAGCCACAGCCAATGGGATGTAGTTTCTTTTTGGGGGTGGGGGGTGGAAATGTCCTGGAATTAGAGGTGGTGGTTGCACAACATTGTGAATGCCTGGATGGCACATGTTAAAATGGTTAATTTTGCTGTGAATTTCACCTCAAATACACACACACACACACACACACACACACACACACTCTAGAGGCCCAGTGCATGAATCGTGCACTCAGGGGGTCCCTCAGCCCGGCCTGTGCCCTCTCGCAGTCAGGGAGCCTCAGGCAGT